CCCCTCTGGAGGTGGGGGGGGGGGGGGAGAGGGTGGGTGAGGGAAAGCTCCTATGTCATTCCATTAGCCTGAGTGGTGACCAGAAGGTACCTAGGCTTCTTTGTGTCAGTCATCTGCCAAAAACTCTGGGAGTTGTAGTCAAAAGATTTAACTTCTCCAAGTTCTGCACCTCGTATGAAGTTAGAGAAATTTGCATGTTTTTGCTCCCTTAGGCCTGTGGTTTCAAAGCAAGGACTTAGCGTCAAACTATATGTTACATACCACACATCATTGGGAGCGGGGATTTCTTGTGTGCTGAAAGACCTCTGATGGTCTCAGCAGGAGCTTTTTCACCTTGCAGCCTGCAGATTAGCCGGCTTTGTTTCAGGGTTGGGAGATGCTCACAAACCTTGCTTGCCTATTTGGTTGCTCAAGCACGGAGATCTTCCGAGATGACATCTTTGGAACATTTTGCCCCCTGAAGTGTGTAACATGTAGTTTGCCCCTCGAACATCAAGAGATTCTGCCCAAGGCTCACGGTTGCGCCCATTCATAACTGACGGGAGCGTACATTGTTTGATCCCCAGATTGCTGATGCAATCAAAGCCCAGCAGGCAGACCACACCTACATCTGGGACTTCCGAAGCCTGCAATACAGCCTTGTTGTATGTACGTTCGTTGGTGCCCTCGGAGGAGGATGTTTTCTGATGACTGCCCTTCACATTGAAAAAGATCAGCTAAAAGCTGCCCAGCTACCTCCACCACCATCATCCATCCAAGGTAACTTTGAGTCACATTCCTGCACATTACAGTAGGACTGCCCTAGCCATGGTTTCACTTATCCGCTGCCTGAATGAATGAATGAATGACCCAGAAATACATGTTCCCAAGGCGTAGTAACAGGATTGACCACTAGATGGAATCAGAGACTGTGCTTAATGGAAACACTTGTGGTCAGATGTCTCCAAGGGAAGCCACTTCTGGTGAAATGGAGGAACCAGATTTTGGCGGCGGGGGGAGCAGCTGCTGGTTTCGGAGAAGGCTCCTTTGTGAACAGGAAGGCAGGAAACCTTGTCTTTTGGCAAGATTGGGCCAGAGCTCCCGCTGTGGCTATGAGAAGCCTGGGAGAGGCCAAGATGTACTTTCCTTCCGGGGGGGATCTTGGCTCCCTCTTCTCTCAGAAGGCACTCTGGGGGATTTAAACTGCTGACCTCTGGTTCTGCCAGACACTCCAACCCACTGAGCCAAAGTCATTGCTTTGTAATGCTAATCGTGATGGAATTATTGCAAAAAGGGAACTAACTAGTTATTTGGAACCATTTACCCCCCCCCAAACTTTGAGAGGCATACCAAATATATCATATTAAATGAATATTTGGCTTTTCTTTCCTCCCTCCCTCCCTTCTTTTGATTAGGTTTTTTCCTAATTTTTTTCTTTCGGCTTGGTTTCTCCTCTGTTGCAGGCATTGAAAACAAAACCTATATCTCACAGGATGAAAGCCTCTGAATGAATCTTTCTATGACATAGCACTATTTGGTGGAGAAGAAAATGCTGGAATTATAAGCCGCCATATTGACAGTTCCCTCCATCTGATGGTAGGGAACGTCTGTGACTGACGTCTTAATATGGCATTCAAATCATGCTTTAAATTACAGTATGTGGCAACCCCTCCAAATCTCTCCTCTTGAAAACTGGCAGAAGAGTTTGCCAAGGAAGGCGAGGGCAGTGGAAGCCGAGAGCATCACTGAGCTGTCAGAGAGAAAATTCCTTCTGCAGAAAACAGGACCTGTACAGAATAGCACAAATGACTGGCAGATGGAAGCCCATCATTCCCTGGAAGCTCGAGATGAGGCAGCTCCTTCTACAGCTGGGGTAGGCAAGGTGTGGGTGCCTGTAGCCCTCCCCTCTCACACACCTTGGTTCCCAATGCACCCCTCAGCACCCTTGTTTGTCAAACTGGGAAATGACTTCCCATCGCTTCTGGTTTCCAGGAGAAATACAAAAATCTCATCCGAGCCCTAAAACAGGTCCATGTGGGGGTCCGTGTCCCCGGGAGAAGAAGGAAGCAGTTCCTGATCTTATGCCAACCACTGTCTCTATATAGAGATGAGTCTTTCTTAAAACTGAATCACCAGGGGTCCCCTGGAAAAATGCCTGTGCTGCAGGGTGGGTGATTTCCCAAACTCCTCCTCCATGTGTTTCTTGGGACTGAAGTCACAGCCAGTTCTATACAGAGCTAACGTTTGGCATTCCGGCGGGTTCTGGGAATTGCAGTTCCATCAGGCTCAAGGGCTAGAATCCTGTGGCTCACATATGCCAGGGTGTAAACACAGTGGCATAAATCTCAGCCACACGTGGCTGCTAGGAAAGGTGTCGCTGCTCATATTCCTTGTCGTGCATCAGTTACATGGTCTGGCACACAGCAAAGAATACAAGTGTTGACTTATTAACCAGCAGCACTTCGTCAGTGAGATCTCCACCATTTCACTTGGGTACCTAAGCATCTGAATTCAAGCTGCACTTCCCAAACTCTTGAGTTTGACTCTCAAATTAAAATTTAAAAAATGTCATGCATCTTGTTTAACTCACACCTCTTTTTTAAGAAAAATTTTGAAATGTCCCTTATACTTTGATTGGGGGGGATTTCTATGACATTTCACGTTTTCTCTGCAACCTACACTTGCAGAAAAAAATATGACATGTCATAGAAATCCTCCCCCTTTATCAGCCTTTCAGAGTGATAGCCTTTACTGAGTGCTATTGGGATCTCCTATCTACCTACATCCAAAACCCCTCCCCATTTCTTACGAGCAAGAAGGCTGCTGCTAAAGGGACTTCCATCTCTAGGTAGCGCTTGCCTCAGACATTGCATTAGGGATCTAATGGGCAGGAAGTGCCCATCTATTTGTTTCCAAGGCAAGCTGCCTCTGAGACCGAGCTCAAGGACCGAAAGACACGTAGATGTAGAAAAGGCAGGACGGAAAACACACAGGCTATCTTGTCATCTATTAGTCCCCCTCTCCATTCAATTGGAGTTGATTCAAACAGAACACCCCTGGTTCCTTCTGGGAAATGGTTGACCTGGGCATCTTGTCCTCAAATCTTTATCATGATGGTCCTGTCGGTCTTGGTTCAGGACCTCCGTGGCCACCTTCCCACCTACTTGTTGTTCCACCTCCCCAAAGGTGCCCTAGGCAAAGCCTGCCTCGACGCTTTGCGTTCGTCTCCATAGCATCTCCTAAAACTGATAAGTGACAACAGTTCATATCATATATATATTTTGAGAGTAAGAGGATCCTGTAAGCGTTGGTTTGGTCTGATTGATTTCCTCTTGGGTCGTGCGGCTGGATGCACAGCCGATCCCACAAAGCAGCCTACCAGCGGGCGCTCAAAGGAAGAGAATACTCACGCAAGCGGGTCACACAACGGCATCCTAACACATGTTCTTCTTCAGGAATATGATCTAATGAACAGGAGTTGGAACACGTTCCTCTCTTGAGGGGCTGTCATTTTCAAATGTAGGCGTTTCCCCTCCCGACCCGCTGTTTCCCCCTAATACCCGCTTCATTAAATATATCTGAAACTTGGAAGAGAATTGTTTTGCAGATGGAGAGTGGGAAGAAGTCTCTTTTTTCCCGGAATAATTAAAAAAAAAAGAAACACCCACTGCATGGATCTCTTAAATGAAGGGAACACTTGCTGCTAAATTGCAATCTATTTAGTTCTGCAGCATTCACGGCTCCATTGCTCTGTCTCCTGTGGACACAGTGTTATTATACCTGCCACTTTTTCTTCCTGAGCGCTCCACACAATGCAGTCCTCCCCCCCGTTACCCCCCTGCCCTGTAATCGGCTTCTTTGATTAAGTCCTGATCGTTGACCCTGACCTGGGGTGACCTTAGCCGAGATACATCCCTACCATGCAGTGGGAACTCTGACGTGGTGAGATCGGTCCTTTTAAAAAAGAAGAAAGGAACTCCGCCAGATTGGCATGGATTGAATAAAGCTGAAGCTTGAAAGCTGTAGAAAAGCAGATTATTTCATTACTCCCAAGCATGCCTGTCTGCTCACCTCTTCCGTTGGGAGACATAAATTTCCACAAAAGAGAGCTTGAGAGTCTGAAAAGGTTACTGTCATGGCTCCCATCTATTTCCAGTATTGAGGCTTTGAGCAGTTGCTTCTTGTAGCCGAAATGGTAGCATTCTTGGAACATGTCAGCTTTTGGAGGAACTCCCAAGATTTAAAGGAATGCAGAACTCTTAAAGGAAGAGAAACCTTTCAAGAGAAGGGTCTTATGAGGATGGAGCAGTCGTCGGAGGATGCTAAGGGGGAAAGTTTGTGGGAGAGAGGTGGAAAGGTAAAGCTCCATCAAAGCCCATCCTGTTGACGGCCTTTATGCTGCATCTGTCCTGTGTTTAAAATCTCATCATTAGCAGCAGTGACCACCAAGTTGGATTCTGCAGGGCTTTGGTGAACCTGCTCTGGGTTTCCAGCCTCGCTTTAGAGAAGTCACTCAAGCTGCTGAACCTGGTCTCCAAATTAGGTCTTGGAAACCTGGAGCACTCCTGTAAAGTTTGGAGGAAAACTCAAAGCCAATTCTGCAGGTCCTCCCCCATCAGCTTCCCATGACGACCACCAGTGCGTGGATTCGTGGACTGTTTTAAAGAACGACCAGATACCAATCTTTTAAGGCTCACAGAGAGAGAGAAGAGATCTCAAATTAAGGCTGGACTCCAGGTGTGGAAGGACAGTGTGTGTTAAAAGTCTGTTGTGCGAGCGGTTTCTGCTGTTTGTGAAAGTCCATCGCAGGACTGCTTGCCGGATCAATTGCACAACCGGGGTAAAAGTGTGCGGCAGGCCGCTCACAAGATAGTGCGATAGGATGGTGTCCAGAACATATACTCTGACAGACAGGGAGAAGAGGAGGAGGAGGAAGCTATGGGCTGCTTGTTTCCCCCAAAATCAAGAGAAACGTTTCAAAAGACAAAAACAAGTTACTAAAGAGGGCCTTGAACATTTATTTTTAGAAAGCTCAAGAGTTATCATGACTTGGATGCAATGGAACCGAGCCAGTTCAGCAGAAAGAGTCAGGTGGCGAAGGGGAAAGTTTTCAGAAGTAGCTGGGCTACCCTGTCCCTTTTTCCAGCACCTGTGGGAGGCTTTGCTTTCCCGTGAGACAACGTAAGCCCCCCCAAATCAGGGCAGAGGCTTGCCTCTCAAAGGACGAAGCCTCCACGCACAGAAGCGAGGGGGAGCCAGCCAACAGCAGGCAGCGCAGGTCCAGCGCTGGATTGCCCGAACACGCCAGAACAGAGTCAGAGATGAGAGCCGGAAGTCAACCCGTCCAACGATCTGACCAGACTGGGAGGAAGCAAACAGGAGCAAGCTTACAACCCTCCGCATCCACAGGCAGGCACTTGGGGCCCACATGATGCAAGGAGAGCTGAAGGGAGAAAGTGCTTACAAACGTTGCTTCCCACAGGCTGGGTTTGGCTGAGATGCTAGCATTTATTCACCTTGGCCTGGACCCCATTTCTCATGCAGCTAGCTGTAATTACTATATATTTACTGCCAGTAACGTTGGTGAGTCACCGGCGTTCTCTTGAATTGGGGAGTTGTGTCTTCACCAGGCTCCTCAGAGTCCTCTTTGAATGACCCCCTTCCTGTCCTGGTCTAGTTGTCTGGGCTGGACTTCCCTAGATGGCCATGGCTCTTCTACTTCTAATGCTACCATTTAATGGTTCTGCCTTGTGTACCGTCCTGTCACCCTCCCACTCCGATTCTGAAACACTGGAGTTTTCGATCCCATCCTCTCTCCCTAGAAAGGACTCTTCTCTTCAGAACTTGCCTGGAGCTGTATTTGGTCCTTTTTCTGAAGAAAAGATTCCCTGTCCTTTAGTCAGAAGGATCCACGGGTTGGAACCATTGTCTCTTTTGGGCTACATTTCCCAGAATTCCCTATCAGCAAGTCTAATGGGGGGGGGAACGACAATGGGAACTATACTCCAGAAAATAGCATTTTCAAGCCCTGATGTACCTACACCTCTGGCATCTGTTCTTCCCAGATTTAAATGGAGGGAGATCCACATGAAAGTCACTTCTCTCTAATCCTTCCCACCCATCAACAGAGATCTGACTGTGAGGGCTGCCTCCACTTGAAAGCCTCCAAGGCCATAGAGGTGGAACTAGAGTGGCTCTTTCTCTCCCACCATCGAACTTGGTACCCCGGACTCGGCAGCTGGAATTGCAGTTCCTCCCCAAAGTTCCAGATGGCAGTGCGGAGATGTTGCCTCTTGGTGCATCAGCCTAAACGATGCATCGCTAGTTGCACAATTCTTGTGGGCATTGAAATAAATAAATAGATTTAGAATCTTAAGAGCGTTGGTTCCCAAAAACTTGGTTCCCCAGATGTTCTTGGACTACAGCTGCCAGAAACCCTGGTCAACACAGTTAATGGTGAAGGCCTCGGGGAGTTTTAGCCGAAGCACATCTGGGGACCGAAGGTTGGGAACCACTGTCTTAGGAGAAAAGGTGCCCCTGTGGACCGCAGTGGTTCTTCCCACTAAGTCCAAACAGAGAAGGAAGACCAGGGATGACAGAGGGAGAACAGATAATTGTGGCTGTATCTTTGGGTGAAAGGAACGCCTGGTTTATTGGGGTACACAAAGTTGAGCTTCTTCAGAGGTCCGAATCAACTTCTCCTCCCCTGGTTTCGTTGACTAGAGAGGATGGAAGCTGTAAACCGATCACATTTGGAGAGCCGTGCGTCCCCCCCACAACCACGCTGTAGAGAATGTTGGGCCCTAACTTTCCTGGAACCGATCCAGTGCTTCCACATAGTATATTGTGATTAACCTGATTAAGAAGCTCTTGGAGGGGTCTCCACTGAATTAGAGACTGTGGAGAGGCTAATTAAGAGAGCTCCCTGCGGGATCGGCTAATAGCTGTGCTGGAACAGGTGAAAATTTTCAATTATCCTCCCGTTCCCTTCTTCCCCCCCACCTTCATTCTTTCCTAAATAGCTTAACTGAGTCTCTTCAACAAAACCAGATTGTCGCCATGACCCAAATGGCTGTTTTTCTGGAAGGAAAAAAGAGGTTTTTTAAACCACTCCTTTTTAAAAGGCCTACCAGTCCAGGAGGTTCTTCCAAACTCTGGAGGTAATGTATTTCTCTTTTTATGGGGAGCAATATCCAAGGTAATGGTGCTCATATAACCTCCTGTTTCCTCCATACACCTCCCAAGATTCTTCTAGCCCATAGAAACATTC